TTTTCCGGGGCAAGTGGATTTTCGCCAAAATTGAATTTTTTAGCCGGGTGAACTTTGATTCCAACTATTTAAGCGACGGTCTATTCGGAACTCTCAAAAGTATGTGGAAAAAGTGAAAACTGAAAAAGTTTTTTTTTTCAGATTTTCAAAGGGTCAGATTTTTCGTTTTTCCAGGGGAAAGTCGACTTTCGCCAAAATCGAATTTTTTAGCAGGGTGAACGTTGATTCCAACTATTTAAGCGCCGGGCTTGTCAGAACTGTCAAAAGTATGTGGAAAAAGTGAAAACTGAAAAAGTTTTTTTTTCAGATTTTCAAAGGGTCAGATTTTTCGTTTTTCCAGGGGAAAGTCGACTTTCGCCAAAATCGAATTTTTTAGCAGGGTGAACGTTGATTCCAACTATTTAAGCGACGGGCTATTCAGAACACTCAAAAGTATGTGGAAAAAGTGAAAACCGAATAAATTTTTTTTTCACCGGAGCCAAAGTATCAGATCTTGGATTTTTCCAAGGGGAAAGTCGACTTTCGCCAAAATCGATTTTTTTTCCCACGTGATTGTTGATTCTTAATTTGTACGTGGTTTGTAGTTTTATATTAATAATTAATTGAGTACTCCTTAAACACTGAAACATGCATCACATTTATCTGCTAACGACTTACAAGTGATTTGTCATCGTCATTTGTTTATGAATAATAGTTTCCGGCTGACAATCTATTGCTTCAGTTCGATTCACTTTGTAATTCCGCTTGAAATGGGAATAATCCCGCCATCTCTCACCGTATCACTGGACTAAAAATGTCGACTGGCAAGACCTTTCCTGGACATATCTCCACTATCGAACCATGTTTTACCACCTCACAGAATCTGTTAATCCGGGAATGTGACTACAAATTTCCGTGCCCATCTGTTCCACTGCCTTCCGTACTGTCGCCATTTTCCGTAGAACGTGTGCAAACCGGAATGTGTCCATCTCAGATTGTAAGAACGACCCCCTCGTCATCGCGGCCATCTTCGGCGCCATGTTTGATAAAATGTCGGCTCCACTGTCGGTAAAAAAGTTTCGTTTCACGAGTAAAATATTGTTTCTCGTCTACCATTCGAGTGAAAATGGCGGCCAGCACCGCAGGTAATTCACGACGATTAAAATATTGTTTTAAATAATAAATTCACCGTGACATTCTGTCAATTTGGAGTTTAAGCCATGAGATAATTGTAGGGTTCTCGTTGAATTATTTATGGAAGAGGGAATATGTTGATTTCTGCATTTTAGAGGTGACATAACCTGCGTGGAGAGTCACAATGTTTTTGTGGGAATAAATTCACGAATTACAGTGTTTATAATAATATATTAACCGAGTGAATGTATTTCATTGAAGGAAAAGCCTTCTCGGCTCTTGGAGCTGTCTTCCAACCCAGAATCAACTTGAGGTACACTCAATTGTTATGTCCGTTGTTGCAAGTACGTGAGTATGCAGCTCGTAAGGGCACCAGAGAGAAGAGGGAAAAGTTGAAGAAAAAGAGGAAAGTGGCGGAGGTGAAGAAGGTTGGATGGATTCCGCCCAATTTACGTGTCAAAAAATCGTAAGTACAACCAGATTGGGACAAAATGAACACTTTCAAATTCTGAAAAATTAATACCCAATACCAAACTCCGGAACAGAATCACTAATTTGAATCAATCTCGACTCATTGCAAAGGAGAAGAAGTCTGCTTTCATGGAAGAACACAATTAGAGTATTTCGTAAAAAAAATGAGTATTTAATATTAATTCTACTATTCATTTCCATGTTTGTAATGAATGATTGAAGGTCATGGGATATTGTAAATACTGATTAAAAGTCAAATTGCAAGTATAAAAACCCAACCGTAAACCGAGGATTGAACCTCAGTATGTTTATAAACATAAGACGACCCCCAAAAAAACTTGTGCTTATTTTTTATCTTTCCAGGACGTGAGCAATATTTCATAAAAATCGAAATGTCGCGATTTGACATTTAATTAGTATTATATCCTGATTTCCAACAGCCCACGATTTTCAATCGTTCTTATTATCAAGATTAATCTTAATTTATCATTAGCTTGACAATATAAATTAGTAAATATATGAATCAGACCCATAATTGCTGAAGAAAAATATAGTACATTACTGGTAAAAAAACAGAGAAACAGAACAATGCGCTCCTTTTCAGAAAAGTTGAGGGTCCATTTTCTTCAACTCTCTATCAAAGCCCTCAACTGCATCTGCATTAATTATTAATCATTTCTTCAGACAGACTCTACCACTTAATATCGTAAAACGACTTGACATGTGGAAGGCAGTGACAACTGATGACGTGTGGCTGCAGAAGTACCATAGATGGAGGGTGTATTCGTTCGAGGAGGCAGTGCAGTGCCACAGGGAAACACATCACCCAACACGTTACAATATGCCCGATGCTTATCTCAATGCTTTTATTGAACTGGACATGAGAGTGAGTATTTTGATGGACTAGCAATCGCGAGTAATGAATTATTGATTGTAGTTAAGTAGATGGTGGAGTTCGTGATACAAATTTGGTAATACATTTGCACTTATTTATGTCTCCAGGGAGCTACAGACAAGAAGACAGTTGAACCCTTCTCACGTTCAGTCGACATTCCTCGCCCTTTCGATCATGGGGAGTACAGGAGTATCGTTGTCTTTTCTAAGACTCCAGAATTGTTGGTCCTTGCTGATAAGGCTGGGGCCACACTCAGTGGAGGTGGTGAACTCATAGCCAAATTTCAGGTGACCAACATTAATCATATACATTTGTTTTTGATGGGGAAAATTTGTAGAATTAGTGGAGCCTTTACTTTTCCAAAAGAATCAATAATTTTTTTTTCTATAAAAAATACACTTCTGACATTTTGTTGTTACTCCAGAAGAGCTCCAACTAATAAATTTTTTGTGAATTAGGAGTGTTGAAAAAATAGGGATAAAGCATTTTACCACACTCTTATTCATTTCCAGACCCAAATTGGTTTCATTGAGAAGCCTAAAGGAAGAGTTTAAAAAAGCATAAAACTTTAAAATTTACTCCGTCAATTTCAAGTTATTGACGATTCAACATGGGCTATTATGACATTTTTACCCCTAAACAATCGCTTTCTTAATCCATTTTAAATATATCTTGCAGTCGGGAGAACTATCGGTGGCCGATTACCATAATTTTGTGGCTCATCCTGACATCCTTACTGAGCTCTCTGTCATTAGGGGGTTGATGAAGAGGAAATATCCCAATCCTCGTGCAGGTAAATTAATAATTAATCTGTAGATGAGCAGAGCCAAATGAATTGCCTACAATTGTCTACTGTTCAAGATTTATTCTGAACAATAAGACTGAGGTTTAAAAAGATTTCTCCATCTTCTTTGGATCCCAAAATATAAGAAAAAAATCATCATGAAATAAAGTAGAACCATCAAATTATAAAAAAATTGTTCTCAGGTACTTTGGGACTCGATTTGCCAGCGATGATTAAAAAAATTCTCCATGGAATCAAGTACAGTGCAATTCTCCATGAGAGGCAACCTCAATTCGCAACAATAACCGTCCCCATTGGTAAAGTACGTAACTTGGTGATTAAAACCCTCAGAGAAATAGCGAATAAATGGAAAAAATTCTAAATTTGTCATAATTTCCCAGCTCTCAATGGATCCAAAAGACCTCGAAGAGAACTTCAAAGCGGTAGTCCAAGACGTCAATAAAATGAAACCCAAACGTGATGACCCATTCATATGCAGGTAAAATCTATTCCTCATCTCATCGTAAACCGAAACATAATCTCCTCCCCCCTCCCTGAAATAAAAATAATCCTCTGTTCACAGAACGAGTCTAAAGGGTGCGGCAACACATGAAACCTTAAAACTCGACTTTGAGCAATATCTCGATCAGCCAACGAAGGCCGATGACGAAAGTGATGATTCAGACGAGGAGGAAGAGGCATCAATTCGCGTTTAGCTTAGTAATCACTTCCTCAAAAAGCATAAATAAAACAAAGCCACTAATAACCTAAATAAAAATATCTTTCATTACATTCACAGCTCCACTTAAATCCCCACCATCATCCTGAGTATCAAATTTCAAGAGCAGAATTGAGAATTAAGGCGGGAAAAAATGAGGTAACCATTGAGGATATTATTTCCACTTAGAGCTGGGACTATTTCATGTGAATTTAATAGAATTATTATTGAAAATGGGTTTTTCAAGTTGACAATTTTGATTAAAGTACCATTATTTAACGATTTATCTTTCTGAAATTGGAATAAAATGGATATTTGATATTTTATTCCAACGAGATTTAAAATGAAATAGTCTTATCAATCTACTATTGAATCGATTTTCTAATGGTTCCTCTAATAGATCCATAATCGAACTATTTAAATTCAATTTACTTCGCCGTATTTCATTCGTTGCCAATGGAAATTATCTCAAATAGTATTTTCTTTCAACTAAATCATTATTAACATCCCATTACACAGGGGAAATAGAGAATAAAATTGAGCAAAAATGAGGCAACAATGGAGAATATTGTTGTATTTGAAGAAGTCATAATTCAGAACCGAAGGGGCGTATTCATTTACAACTCTTTAGATTAATTAATAGAACAGAGATGAATCACACATAAAGTCGCATCCGAACAGGAAAGAATGACAATGTCAATATTTGATAATGACAAAATTTTAAATTGACTAAATTAAAAAATTACATGATTGAAAATGACAAGCCCCTCGACTCTGTAACAATATCTTCTTTCCGCTCAGAGCTGGGGAGTATCTCATGAGAATCAAACAGGAATACTATTTAAAATAGGCATTTCAAGTCCAATATTTCCACCGTCTTCCTGAAATTTCAATAAAAAAAATATTTGACATTTCATTCCAACAGAATGAAAAATGTAAAAGTATTCATCACATTGCGCTTAAATTCAGTACACGAAATAGGAATTTTTCCTACCCCAATAAATAACGAAGAGTCAATCAAAAATAGAATCAATTGTTTCAAATAGCCTCTGAGATACTTTCTCACCCATTCGAATGAACTCTTCAAATACTATTTAATTTTCCCCATTTAATCAGTAGAAAAAAACTATCAGATACTATTTCCACACTTTAAACTACATAATTACCTTTGACTTTGTAATGTTCGATGACTCCAACATAATAATTAGTCACAAATAGTTAAAAGAGTAATTAAAATACTGTTTTCCCCAGCTCTGTCCCCACTTGACTTTCCCACTCCACGAGATGAAAAAAAGAGTGATAAAAAATTGATATCAAGTTTCTGTCCCCTGTTGCGGTAATTCGAGGACCCCAAGATCGGTCAAACAGGTCGGGCAGTGCGAAGGTGTGTAAAGAAATGAGATGAGAAACGGTAGAGAGAGAAAAGCTTGACGTGAACTCGGTGGAAAAAGAGAAGGTAGAGACTGGTGAGCGGCCCGGCGTACAGTTTTGAATTGTGGTGGGGTATGGAGAGCTCACCTACCTGCCTGTTAGTGAGCTCAGTCGTTGTCCGCCAGGTTGAAAATCCGTCCGTTTCTCCTGGCCGATCCGGCTGCACATGCCAAACAAATTGAAGTATTCGCAGTAATAGATAGCTGATAATCGCATCGATAAGTGTAACAGAAGTTCCAAAAACTGCGGTTCAATTAATCCGAAAAATTCACCAATTTGATGTGAATCATCATAAATCACCTGGATAATTTTCAATTTCAGTCGGCAGTGAATCGCGCAGCCGCATTAACACCGGTTGAATCAACGAGTGTGTGAAGTGACAGTGATTTTAATTCTTAATTGTGTGAAACTTTAAATACAGTGTGCAATTATGAAATTGTGATTTTAAAGTGGACATGACGGTAGCCTCCTGGAATTAGCAGTGCATCAACGATGGTGAGTCCTCTTTATCTTATGACAATAGTGTTGCGAGTGGAGATGCGCCTGCGTTAGTTCACCTGTTGAATATCATATTTATAAACACGAGGAAATTGTTTACTTCAATCGTCTGCAGCGAGAACGTCAGCGAGAGGAATAGACGTTACACCTCTCGACTGATTGAATCTGCATTCAATAAAAAAATACCAATCGTCTGGTTTGATCAGTGATTAGCATGTGAATGATATTCAGTGGAATTTACACTCGATGATAAATTTTACACGATTTTCTATGTTACGTGGAGCGAGGGGTTTAGAGTGGTGATTGTAATTCATGGGAGATAAATTCTTTATTGATACTGAACGGAACAGAACTCAATGCGGAGTTGAAGCACGTTTCTCGGTGTATTTATACGATAGTCCTGGAGTTGCCTTTAACCCGATCACGATGACCCCGTGAACTATGCGACATTAAATATCGCGTTCGGTACTGTGTTATCGTTATCGATGCGCCGACGCGTGTCGGTTTCCGGACACTAGGTACCTGTCGATTGAAAACACTTGATCTCCGGTCGAAAAAGTTGTCTCACACGGAGAAAAAATACCAGTTACTGTGGGGTATGCAAAATGAGTGCCAACACCGGTCATTTTATTACATTTTTCCCGTTAAATGCTTTTATCTATTTTTTGTTGAAATTCCCGCTAGAATTTCAGGAGATTTCACCTTTGGAAATTTAACATTTTATGGGAAAATCGATGGAAATTGGAAATTTCTGGGGAATTATTTCATAGAAATTAATGGGAGTCAGGCAAATTTGAATAAATTCTTGTTAATATATTCTTCAATTGCCCATGGATTGAAAATTCTGCATAATTCAGTCCTGAATATTTATGTTTCTATGGAAAATTCATATAAGTTCGAGAATTCTTTTATTTCTGCTGCGAAAAAATTGGAATTTCTTTGAATTTTTTGTGAATTCTGAAATTCCATATTTCGCCCTTCCTTCTTCAAATGGGATGGAACGGCAAATTATATTACACTTTCCGCGGGGAACACTCCTAAAAATTTTTGGTGGAAATCCCCGCTGGAATGTCACGAAATTTCGTCATTGGGAATTTACAATTCTGCGGGAAATCAGTGTAAGCTGTATTATGGAAATCAGGGAAATTCATACAAATATGCTCCTAAATTTTCAATTAATAGAAAATCCAGCATTCTATTCCTCGAAAGTGTTTAATTCCATAGAATTTCTAGTGAATTCTAAAATTTCCTGATCCCCTCCAAATGGAATTCGATGTTGCTCTCCCAAAATTACCACAAAACTGTCCATGAAACTTCAATTTTTTTCTAACAGTGAATACGAGAAAAACTCCTGGTCTCGCCGCTCAAATTTTTAATTTGCACTCCGCACACGTTCCCGGAATCAAATTTCCATGAATAAAATTCGATGCAGTGAGAGGGGGTTGGAAAGGGAAATGTATCAAACTTTTTCAACAGACCAGAGTTAAGAACTACAAGTGCAAATGCACTTTACGCTTAACTTGTCCTTCTTATGAAATTATCAAGTAGCTTGAATGCTAAATAATAAATACCTACTCTGATCCACTTTAAATTCAAGGGGCTTGCGCAAACCAGCTCTCGGCGATTCCATGAAATATAAAAGTCCACAGATACCCGCGGAGAATCGTAATTACATTTTTTTATCTGACACTTTGTAATATGGTAATTCCCTCGAGCTTGCGCTAAATTATTTAAGTTCAGTATTGGAAAAGTCATAGGTTTCTTCCTTGAATTGAGAACACATGTTGTTATAAAGTCATTTGAAGTGATAAAACGATACTGGCGAGCCCAAAATCCGAGATAATTTTCGGTAAATGTCATTAAACCGAAGGCAGATCGAGCAATTTATTTGTGTATTTTTAATTTCGAAATATTTAGAAATAACTTTTTTTTGCAATTTCATATGACTTGCCTTTTTTCAAATTTCGCATGGAGTTTTCCTGTTCTCCCAACAACAAAAATAGGAATCATGTTGAAAAAAAGAAAAAAGGGGAATCTAAAAAGTTTTCCTCTGTGCTAACGCTTATTCGTGATTAACAAAGTTGAAACTTTTGAATTACTCACTTTATAATATGAGAATTCCCTCGAGTTTACGCTACATTGTATTGGCGCACAGTTTTGAAGAAGTCACACAAAGCCTTCTCTTTCTCTTGAACTAAAAATACACATTGTTATCAATTAATTAGCAACGTTGTAAAGTGAATTAATTTTTTAATGTTTTATTCAGGTGTAACCTTTCGGCCTTTTACATATGATTACCCCCCAATCTCAAGTACCCACAGAAAAATGGTTTATTTGAATCAAATAAGTCATTTGTTGGATTCTATTGACGATTCTCTTGATTCAAATGAAGTTTAATTGAAATAAATCATTTTTCCTGGTTTAGTAAAGCGAATTAATTAAGCCCAACCTTTCGTAACTTTTGAAATATTTAACAAAAATCTTTTTTTGCATTCGTCGACTTAAAAAAACTCGTAAATAGTTCTCAATAAAAGAAAAAACAACCTGAATCGGGGTTTTTTCTTCGAATTGTAATACTCATTCCTGACAGAAAGCCTAAAGTTAAGAAATTAGTCGCAGTCTATTCCGATTTCAAGTAGCAACTTTATTAATAATGTAATACCAGTGAGTTTTATGTGAGTTACAACCCACTATAGATTCATTTCCCTCCCCACCGCCATCATTTCTTTGGCCTGGAGTGAGGCTCGACCCAGCCATGCGTTTCAGATCCCAAGGAGTTATAGACGTACATACAACTTGGGAGCGCAAATGCAAATGATATACCTCTAGGGTCTCAAACGTTTATTTTATTCTCATTCTCGATTCGCCATTTTCTTTACTATTGCGGTAGTCTTATATGACGTTTCCCTTTTCCGGATACACCAACGCACGTTTACGCTAATTGCATTATGATGAACGTGTGGTGTTATTCCTCCAGGTAGTCCTCACGTTCAGCCCCGCTTGATGTTTCGTGTTTCGGTCAGTGATTCTGCAAGACACGTCTACTGAGGTATTTGTAGCATCTTATGATTGATTTCCGGGATTTCTCTAGGGCCTCAAATGCAAAATTGAATGAAATTGCTGGGCTGACCTTTTTCAGGGCCAT